CCCTCTCACCTTCACACGCCCTCTCACCCCACATTCCTTCTTTTAGGGTGAGTTCATGCTTAATTTTACTTCATTATCTATATATTGTTAACAATTTCCCAAATTTTAGGGTTTCAATTTTAGTTAATCAAATTTTATGTTAATTATTTTATTAATTATTTGTATACAAAATGTTAATTGTTACCTTAATTGTATAATGTTATAAGTTGTTTGAATTTGAGTAGCTAAAAAGTGATGAATTAATGAATGGATTGTAAGTAAGCTTAGTTTGCTTGTAGGTAGTCCAATTAGTATTATATGAATGAATGAACTTGTGTTTTGTTAAATGTCAAACAAATTCAAATTGTTGAATGCTTGCATCATCATTTGCCTAGATACCCGTTCGAGTCTTTCTCATTAGGAGGAAGTCTTGAATAGTCCCCGGTTGAGACTGTTCTTGGACGTGTAATCTCACTTAGGTAGTGAATGTATGTCTCTTTTTCGATCTTAAGGAATATCTCGGCTTAGCATTTTGTCACCATGTTCTCTGGGTGCATATGTAGGTAAGTAATTATCTACGTTGTGTACTTGGAGAACTGGGGCGAAATGCTGCCGGATTTTCCTTAAAATTGGAAAGTTGGCATACATTCACTAGTGAGATTAGACGTTCAAGGATGGGTTAGGTTGGATTGATAAGGACCTTTTGGGAGCATTCATTTTGTACACTATATGCATGAACGATATAAATACATACTATGTACTTTGATTATATGTTGCATTTATACATTATTTATAATGTGTTGGTTTGTATAAAGGCAATTTAAAAACGTTGATGGATCGCGGTTGGATGTATGGTAGACGTGATACGTTGGAATTCTTTAATGGGGTCCAAGAGTTTTGCAAGAGTGCTTCACAATATCAGATCAGAACGGGTGTGAATGACCTTTATTGTCCTTGTGTCAATTGTAATAATGTGACAATGGTCGACAGTGTTGATACAATAAGGGATCATGTGGTATGTCATGGGTTTAGGCCTCAATATCATCTGTGGGTTTGGCATGTCCTAATGATTGTGTTCTTTATCGAAATGAATATAAAGAGTTGGAGGAGTGTCCACGTTGTGGTAAGTCGCGTTACAAGCGAAAGAGCAGCAATGCTAGTATGAAGGGACCTCCTGCCAAGGTGTTATGGTATCTTCCCATCATTCCAAGGTTCAAGCGTCTATTTTCAATACCAAAAGATGCTAAGAACTTGAGATGGCATGCAGAGGGAAAAAAGAAAAATGGTTTGCTGAAGCACCTGGCTGACTCTCCGGATTGGAAGAACATCGATATGAAGTTCAGGGCATTTGGTGATGAAGTAAGAAATTTAAGGCTTGGGTTGTGCACCGACGGTTTGAATCCGTTTGGCACTCTTAGTACCCAACATAGAACATGGTCGGTACTTTTAGTGATCTACAACTTGCCTCCGTGGTTGTGCATGAAACGAAAATATGTAATGCTGTCACTATTGATAACGGGTCCAAGGCAACCTGGAAACGACATAGATGTTTACCTTGTGCCCCTTGTTGATGATTTAAGAAAGATGTGGGACAAAGGAGTTTCTGTTTTTGATGCCCATAAGAACGAGATGTTCTTCTTACGTGCAGCCCTTATGTGGACCATTAATGATTTTCCTGCATATGGCAACCTGTCCGAGTACAAAAACAAAGTGCATAAAGCATGTCCTATTTGTATCGATGACACACCAAACGTGTACCTTGAACACTACGGCAAAGATGTGTACGTGAGGATCCGAAGATTGCTTAGGCGCGATCACCCATATCGTAGGCAGAAAAAGGCCTTCAATGGGAAAGTGGAAAAGGGGGCTGCGCCTAGGCCATTGAGTGGACATGAGGTGTATAGTCGAGTGAAGGGTATAGCAACTGTTTTTGGTAAAACATTGAAACCTTTAGACCCACATGCTCTCTTTAAAAAGGAATCGATCTTTTGGAAGCTTGAGTACTTGAAAGAACATGATGTTAGACATTGTCTCGATGTGATGCATATAGAGAAAAATGTTTGTGATGCAGTTGTTTGGACAATTATGGGTATTCATGGTAAAACAAAGGATGGAAAGAGCGCGCGATTAGATTTGGAAGCGTGGGGGGTTCGTCCAGAATTGTGGGTCCAGGCAAAGATAGGGAAGGCCAAGGTAATGGAAAATGTAAGCGAAGATGGTGGCAAAAGACGTAAGGGGGAGCGCAAAGGAAAGGGCACCAGTGTATCAAAGAAGAAAGATGATGTAAAAGGCAAGAATGAAAAGGTTTATTTACCTCCAGCTTGCTACACATTGTCAAAGGAAGAAAAACGAAAGTTTTGTGCTTGTTTGTACGACATTAAGGTTCCATCTGGTTTCTCGTCAAACATGAAAAGATTCGTTTCCTTAAATGGGGAATTGAAGTTGACAAGTATGAAATCCCATGATTGTCACATGATGATGCAAGTATTCCTACCGATTGCAATTCGTGGTATTCTAGCGAAGCACGTGAGAGAAGCTATTACAAGCCTTTGTTCGTTTTTCAATACCATATGCAGCAAAGTGCTTGATCCTTTTACACTTGATGCTCTCCAGGCGAATGTAGTCGTAACTTTGTGCAAATTTGAGATGTATTTTCCACCGTCATTTTTTGACATAATGGTGCATTTGGTTCTTCATTTGGTTCGTGAGATTAAGATGTGCGGTCCAGTCTTTATGAGGTGGTGCTATCCTTTTGAAAGACACATGGGCACATTGCAACATAAAGTTAAGAATCCAGCCCATCCAGAATGTAGGGGATTGTGGCGGAGGAGATTGGTAATTTCGTGGCGAAGTATGTTGCCGTTGTCGAACCAATTGGGCTTCCCACTTCTCGACATGAAGGGAGACTTGATGGTCATGGCACCCTCGGGTAGAAACAAATCTCACCTACTCATGATCAGTTCTTGCAAGCTCACCTATTTGTGCTTCATCATGTTGCGGAGGTTCACCCATATTTAGAAGAGCACATGGATAGTTTGCGTGCGGAATTTCCATCAAAAGGGGAAAGGGCACTAATGCAGTTGCATAATAAGATGTTTGTGACGTGGTTCCATGATCGAGTTATGCGTCAATTGGATGAGAGTGTCTCTGATACTATAAAGTGGCTAGCTTATGGTCCAAAGGAAGATGTTTATTCTTTTGAGGGATATGACATAAATGGGTATACATTCTAGACTGAGCATCGTGATCAGAAATCCTCATCGACTCAAAACAGTGGTGTCACTCTTGTGGCTTCATCAAGAGAGTTTGCAAGTACGAAGGATACAACACCGGTTGACGCACAATTATCTTACTACAGACGAATTTAGGAAATATGGGAACTAGATTACCGTGAGTTCAAGGTAGGTCTATTTAAGTGTAAATGGGTCGATAATATTAGGCGCAACGTCAGACATGATGACTTCACTCTTGTAGACCTTGGCCACTTGGGATAGTTTGGAACCATTCATCCTTGCATCTCAAGCCAAGCAAGTGTTCTATGTAACCGACCCAGCAGATCCAAAATGGTCCATCGTCCTTGCTAGCAAAAGAATAATTTTAGGGGTTGGAGATGTTGAAGACGAGGACGAATATGATGCGTTTGATGATTCACCCCCTTTCACCGCCCCTACACTTGATGTAGCAAATGATGTAGACAAGGATGCAAATTATATTCGAGCAGACCACAATGAGGGAATACTCGAATGAGGTACAATTTTTTAAGCATCGTAATTTTTTGTAAACATGTTTTTTATACCAAATATGAGTTGTTAGAAGGATTAGATGTGAACTAGGAATGAAAATAAAGAAGTTGGGAAAGTTAGTAGCTCATTTTTGCCATTTTGAACTTATTTCGCTCCTATAACCTTGAATTAGCATGAAATCAATGACTTTTAAGCATTTTCAACTTGTAAATATGTTTTGTATACCAAATATGAGTTGTTAGAAGGATTAGATGCGAACTAGGAATGAAAATAAACAAGTTGGGAAAGTTAGTTGCTCATTTTTGCCATTTTGAACTTATTTCGCTCCTATAACCTTGAATTAGCATGAAATCAATGACTTTTAAGCATTTTCAACTTGTAAACATGTTACTAATTACTAACTATTTGCGTGTCTTGTGGTGGTAGGTGTCTACATAAAATGGGTGGTGATGAATATCTTCACCACGAAGAGGATATGGATGATGAAGACATTAGTAGTTCTCAATCTGGTGGCGAGTCGTATGATGTCAACAAGGAGCAAGATTTGGGTGAACCAGAAGACCAAGCTCATGATGACTTGCAGCGTAGGCTTGATGCTTATGAGATACAAGCTGAATGTGCCCCCCTATTAGGGATGATATTGTCTCCGAGTTTGTACGAGATTCACAAGGATAAATGCAACGTCAAGTGAAAATCAGTGGTGGTGGAAAGGCACCGGGGAAGAGAAAGGTAAGGGGTGCAACAAAAGCTTTTAAGAAACCTGAGGAACCCAGGATTCTTGAGTTTGATGAGTTGGGTCAACCTACTGGGCAATGGCGCAGCAAATATTCGACACACATTGGGATATTGACTCGTAAAATACCGATCACACTTGACTGGGCAGAGATACCTAAAGGGTTGCTTCAAATGTTTTGGGATGATACAATGGTAAGTGTTTTGCATTTTAGTTTTTCTCAAAAAACTTCGTACCAAAATCAATGTGCATTCACCGAAATCAAGCCAAACTTCGTAACATTGGTTGTGCATCCTGCCTACTTGACTGTGCAGCAGGCCAGGGTTGTGTGCAGCCTGCCAGGGCTGCTGTGCAGCTGCCTAGGCTGGCTGTGCAGCCTGCCAGGGCTGCTGTCACTATTACATTTTTTATCTAATGCAACGGTACAAAAATAGCTAATACAACGACTAATTTTATACCGTTGTATTAGACAAGGCTAATCCGTTGTATTACACTAAAACAGGGATAAAACAACGGTTTATACTAACTGTTGTATTAGATAAACTAATCCGTTGTATTAGATGAGCTAATCCAACGGATTATTCTTCTAACACAACAGATAGTGTTCCCGATTTTTTTTTTTTTTTAATTTTTCAGTTAGAGCTAATCCAACGGATCAACCCCAATTACTAAAAAAAGAACAAAATAATAACACCTAATACAACGGATGAGTAAAAAAAAAAAACCTGGAATGCTGAAATACTAGAGCCAAAAATGAAATTGAAACCCCAATTCCCAAACTTCTCAGCAGTCTTCCTTCGTTCTTCTCCCTCGCTGCTGCTCGTTCCTTCGTACTCCTCCCTCGCTGCTGCTCGTTGCTTCGTTCTCCTCCCTCGCCGCCGCCGTTGCTTCGTTCTCCTCCCTCGCCGCCGCCGTTGCTTCGTTCTCCTTCCTCGCCGTTTTGTTTTGCTGTGCTCGAATCTCTATCTGAGGTAGGTATACCTTCAATTTTCGTCTACCATGGATTTGTTGATTTTGTTTTGTATTTAGTTTTAGTTTGAACCTTGCATGTGGCTGATTGCTCGAATCTTTGGATTTAGATTTGTTGATTTGTTCGAATGTTGCATGTGGCTGATTGCTTGCTTGAGGGTGGTTGTTGGGGGTGGTTTTTCGATTTATGAACCCTAATTTTTTTGGGGGTTTATTTGGGAATACTTAACATAAACCTGTTGAAGTTAGCTGATTTTTGTTGTGAAATTTTAGTTATCTCCCATTGAATGTCACCGAATGTCTTTAGTTGCTTCGAAGGTTATTTTTTTGCATCAGTGCAATGTTCAGCCTGCAGCTACGGATGTTCTCTATTCGTGGTGCATTACTCCCATTTTATAATGTGAAGAGCAATTTCAATGCTGCTGTGCTTTTTCGGGTCTAAATATATGTCAACTAGGAGTGACATGACTACCTGTTTAGAAGAAAATAGACATGACTACCTGTTTGAAATACTACCTTGGTGGAGTCTCTTTTTTAGTTTCTGTTTCTTGATTACGACTGAGGGTATGCCTTTACCGGTGGAGTCGTATCAATGTAGACCTCTCCTCACTCCCATCAAAACTGTAATAGGTACTACTTAGTGGCTGTTGTTGCCATTGTTGATTTTGTAATATGAAGTCATCTATCTTTTAAGTGCTTAGTAATTTTGTGGGATGGACTTAAATTCGACATCTAACATAGACACATAGTTTCTTTTCTGGAGGAAAAACCTGAATTTAGACTCACATTTCTGTCAATTGAGGAATGATGATTTAGAGGTGCTTGATAGGTGCATTTCTGTTGTAGTTAGAGCATTCAGTCAACATCAAATATCTCTTTCCCATTTTTCTTAGAAACCTGAGGATTGCATGAGCAGATATCTATGATCATAACAGGCTAGCAGCAATGGGTTATCTCCACACTAACATGATCTGCTAATTGAATTGTGCTGCGAATCCCTGTGTTGTAGCAAGTATCAACACCTAAGTGATCGATTTGCTAGCTAACCGCAACCCTATGTGCTGTTGTTACACCTAAGTGATCCATTCTCTAACTAACTGTTGACTCGGAGAAACTACTTCACTTTTTGTAAATTAGTTCAGTAATTGTAGTTTCATACTTTTGAGAGGATATGATAAGTGCATATTTGAATTTCTAAGCGTAAGTGAACAACTAAACTGATTACTGCATGCTTGTGTCTGATTTTCATCTAATTTTGTTACTGTTATTCTCAATCATGTTCAGTGCAAGAAAGCTGTATGTATTTATACTCGTAGTTCATAGCGAGGGCACAAGTTCTTGATATTTCAAGCTAGTAGACTTGAGGCAATAGTGTAGCATACTGTGTTAGTCATAGTAATTGCTTGTTATATCTTCATTATGTTGATCTGCTATAAATTTAAGTACTTTTGGTAAAATAATTTTCTCCTGAGTTTTGCTGAGCTAATTTAAGCAGATGATGACAAACTTAAACACATTAAAGCTTTAAATAACCCTTAAAGATATAACATACAAGATTGTACATATATCATTGCTGCAAATGGGACACTAATTGCCAAACTTGCATTAATTCATTTACAAAAAAGACCACAAATTAACCCATATACCCTTTTTCCCCTATAGTACAATCTACTTATTGAATATCTCCCCTCCCCAAAAAACCCCAAAATAAAAAAGAAAATTAGTAGGATTATCATTATCATTATCCCCCTCTTAATTAACATCCTCAAAAGGTAAAAATCCTCCCTAATTTCTCCTCTCCTAAGAGTAATCAACATGCCCATTAATACTGGAACATGTTAACTGAAGCCATGATTGGCTGATTTGAGTAGGTAGTAGAATCCCATGGGTTCATAAGAAAGCTGTCAGTTGTAAATGGCTCTGGAATAATTGTGGGAAAGATCCCTTCTGAAGCCATTTAACTATTCAAGGACAGCAATCATTTTAATTTTTTTAGACTATTTAATGGGGAAATAAATTTCTATGGCTTGCTTGACCTTTAAGTGAACAAGGTATATTGTCCATGCAAATCAAGTTTGAGGTTTGTGTGCATATCCCAGAGTGTTCCACCGTAGTTACTAATTAGTTAATGATGCAACTATAGTATCTTCTAGGGACTGTCAATTGTGATGGACTTTGCAACGTAAGTTTCATGTGCCTGACAATCTGACATATACTAATGTTTAGCAGCTTGACCACTGGTTGCTAATCTAATAGTGCTCTGTTGTTTTGTGCATGTTTTTGTTCCCTCTTTTAAATTTTCTTCCCTGGTTTATCGCAATCCGTAGTGCAGGTGACATAAGAGGCTTTCGATCTTATCGATGTTTGGTACCCTACCAAGTTACAACAGTCCTAAAAGAATTATTATAGTTTGCATCCTAGGTCTTTTAAGAGGGATGCCACTGCAACTTTTCCGGTAGCAAAAATGAAGACTGCTGCATTTATTTCAGTCACTTGTAGTGAGTTAGAGACTCAGTTGGTGCCTTTATATCCTGGAATTGTTGCATTCAAACTAGCTTTCTGTCATTTGTATTTTGATTCTAATTGTGTTGTACTCACATTTCTCTATCTTCACAAATTGGATATGGTTAGCTCACCTAGCTGACATGCAACATAAACACGCACACACACACACATGTTGGCATTTATTGCATAAGCCTGGTATTGCTCTGATAAATTGATGGTATTTCCAGTGGTGATCTTTAAGCTTCAATGATGAATTGGTTTGAAAATCTGTTGGCCTTCAGGCCTTGTTCCATTTGTGAAGTTGTTGTGTCATGTGATCCCTTTGCACAGTTTACATTGTGACATACCTTCTCGCCAATTTTGGCATACTTACCAATTAGCCTTTTGTGCCTTGGTGCTCTATAATGAGTGTAATCTGTTCTTGTGTTGCTATGAGCAAACTTTTTATGACTTGTTGACATTGTGGCGGGGGCTTGGTTTTAGTTATTTTTTTTCCTGCTGTTTGACTTTCTAATGCTGGCATGTTATCTCAGTGGTGCCTGGAAGGATTTGGAACTCAATGAATACAACTTTAAAGCTAAAGGTCTTCCACCTAAAGGTGGTCATTTGCATCCCTTACTCTAGGTTAGGCTGCTTGTTCTATTTCCTTAAATTCTCTTTTGCAGGGGTAGTTTTTAAAGCATTTCCATTTGGTTGCAGCAATTTTTTATTTAGTTGAAATGCAACTTATTGGCTAATTTAAAATTTTGAATTGGATATCTGCATGTTATGGATGTTTGTACTATTGTTATAAATAATTGCTTATTGTGTGGTTAGAACTCTCAGAAGCCAATTTTTTTTTACAAGTTCCAACCGGGCAATGATATTGGAATGAGCACATAATGTTTTTGTGGAATGTTACGATGTTTTTTTGATGCAAATAATGTTTTTTTTGTAATTCTTTTGGCATTTTCTGGTGTTTTTAAGTAGTGTTTTGCTATAGTATTGATTTAAGGCCCTTGGATTTAATGAAGAATGGACAGTATGTAATTTAAGTCCGACCTGTGGGTGCAACGTTGTTCCCTTGGCCACCATTAATTTTTTGTGTTTAAAGCTCTCTAATCTTTACTTATGTAGGGAATATGTGTAAAACCCAATTAATGTCTATAACTCTGTATCTTGTCATTAATTCTGAGTCTGCTTACACACTATATTAGTATAGGCTAGCTTGGTGTTCATCTTGTGTTTTGGTAATTTTCCTGCATTATATGTTAGCTATTTGACAATAACACTTCCTTATCTAGAAGGGGTGTATTTACTGTCTGGGATAGAATTATATAGTTCATTGATCACCTTTGTGTCGCACCTCCATGAGAACACCTCCATGAAAAATAATGAGAGTTGTACAGGTTATGTGACTTTATCCTTTGGCACCTATTTACACTGTTAATTTCTATTTTTACCCTAAGGAATGGAAGGTGGAACTAAGAATTGGTGGATGTTTGCCAAATGGAGCGATGAATATGAACAAGGAGTCGACGAATATGTCAAAAGGGCTTTTGCTATTAAGTCTCAAGGAAATCAAATTTGTTGTCCATGTCAAATTTGTCATTATCGTTTTTGGCGGTGTGAAGGTGTGGTGAGAGACCATTTAATTTGTAATGGTTTTGTTCCAAGATCGGTTAAGTTATCAGATTTAGGGTTCAATATCCAAAGAGAAGAAACTATTTTGGATAATGATGAAGGGTCCATCCCAAATGAATCTAGCGATGACGTAGTGAGGTTGTTGCATGATGCACGTGATGCTTTTAGAGATGGGCCAAATGATGAGGCAAAAAAGTTTTTGAGGTTAGTTGAAGAAGGGCAAGAAGAATTGTATCCTGGTTCCAAAAATCACTCAAAACTTTCCTTCATGATTCGACTTTTTATTTTAAAGTGTGATCATAATCTAACCAATGCCGTATTTGGAGATATATTGGAGCTTATAAGGGAGGCGTTGCCTGATGCAAAGTTTCCAGCTTCTTTCAATGAAGCAAAAAGTGTTTTGAAAGTGTTGGGGTTGGATTATACAAAGATTGATGCATGTCCAAACGATTGCATGATATATTGGGAAGAGCATGAAAATGCAACAAGCTGCCATGTTTGTAAAACACCAAGATGGAAATCAAAGGACAAAGAGGATGACATAGAAAATGGTAAGGGAAAGACCTATAGAATTCCTCAAAAGATTCTTAGGTACTTTCCGATAAAGAAAAGGCTTCAACGACTATTTATGTGTCAAGAGACGGCGAGATACATGACTTGGCATGCGGATGGGCGTGAAACTGATCATCTTTTACATCATCCAGCTGACGGTCAAGCTTGGAGGGAATTTGATTCCTTATACAAAGAGTTTTCTGATGACCCGCGCAATGTGAGGCTAGGACTAGCCACAGATGGCTTCAGCCCGTTCAACTCAATGAGTATTGTACATAGTACTTGGCCAATTATGTTGATAAATTACAACTTGCCTCCTTGGATGATTATGAAGCCTGAGTATTTGATGTTAGCACTACTAATTCCGGGTCCTTCTTCCCCAGGCAATGACCTTGACATATATTTGCAACCACTAATGAAGGACTTGAAGGATTTGTGGGAGTTCGGACCGGAAACTTATGATGCTTCGAGAGTAACCAGAGGTTTCACATGCATGTAGCATTGACTACCGTGAGTGATTTTCCTGCTTACGCGATGTTATCTGGCTGGAGCACAAAAGGATACTTGGCGTGCCCTGAGTGTCATTATGAATTAGATTCTGAGTGGTTGCCTTATAGTGCTAAGAATGTGTATAGGGAAAATCGTAAATTTCTACCTCCATTTCACCCTTGGCGTCGTGATAAGAGGAATTTTGATGGGAAAGTTGAGGAAAGACATCAACCTACTCCATTGAATGGAATTAATGTAGCTAATCTGTTGCGTGATTTTCCAAATGAATTTGGAAAGAAGCAAAAGAAAACAAGGCGTGATGTTGATGATCCGAACCCGTGGAAAAAGAGGGTCATTCTTTTCGAGTTACCATATTGGAAGCATTGTCTTAATCATCACAACCTCGATGTAATGCATATTGAGAAAAATGTGTTTGATAGTGTCATTGGGACATTGTTAGACATTTCTCAAAAGACCAAGGATCATAAGAGTGCTCGTCGAGATTTGGTAGAGCTTAATTTGATGCCGGAGCTTCAACCAAGAGAATTGGAAGATGGTGGCGAAGAATTTCCAAGATCCCGCTTTTGGATGTCATTGGAGCAAAAACGTAAATTCTGCCAAGTCTTCAAAAATGCCAAACTTCCTCAAGGCTATGCTTCTAACATTGGTCGATGTGTACAAGTTGGGGAAAGGAAAATTGCAGGCTACAAAAGCCACGATGCACATTTTATGATGAATTATTTGCTCCCAATTGCAGTGAAGACAACATTATCCAAAGATGTTGCTACTCCTTTGATTAGACTTTGTGCTTTTTTTAAAAGTATATGGAGTAAAACGGTTAATCCTCAACATCTTGAAAAATTGCAATCTGAGTTAGTTGAAACATTATGCCTACTTGAGAGGATTTTTCCACCTGCCTTTTTTGATATAATGGTACATCTACCTCTACACTTAGTGGGCCAAATTAAATTGGGTGGACTTGTAAGTTCAAGGTGTATGTATGGGATTGAGAGGTATCGTCATGGACTAAAGCAAGATGTTCGAAATAAAGCTCGTCCAGAAGGCTCAATGGCAGAAGGATATCTAGCCAAAGAATGTGTTGCCTTTGTAGCTAGATTTTTGAAAGGATCAAACTCGGCCACACTTCAGGTTAATGCTTGTAGTACATCACAATCATTTCTTCCTAAGGTAGGACGTCCAGTAAAAGGGAAAGGAAGGACATCAAAGAAAAAAAGACCGTGAACACATACTTGATCACAATCAATGTGTACAAGCGCATCGTTATGTCTTGTTCAATTGTGACTGCGAGGAAGTTGAGAAATATATAAAGTTAGATTACCAACCAAAATGTAGTTTTTTTTCTTTTTCTCTTGGTTTTCAATATGTTTTAATTGTAGTGTTAATAAAGTAATCTTTTTATATTTCATAGTGAGCACAAGGAATTTGTAAGCGCTAGAGGAAAAAGGAAATGGAATAGCATTCAAGATCACAGCAAGGATTTTGTGGATTGGTTTAGGGAGAAAGTTGATTTCATTGTTGAAGAGGGCCAAGACATCATCCCTAACAATATCATATGGTTATCAAAAGATCCTTCTTACATTGCTAAAAAGTATACTGGGTACTCAGTCAATGGTTATAGCTAGGTTCCATACCATGAAGCGCGATGCTAATTGTGTAACTCAAAATAGTGGAGTCACTCTAACGGCCATGACACATAGCTTTGCAAGTTCCAAAGATCAAAATCCTATTGAGGCTAATGTCAATTATTATGGTTCAATAACAGACATTATTTCAATATCTTACCATGGCTACTTCTGTGTCTTCTTATTTAAGTGTGTGGGGTTTCACTCTAAAAAAGACGATGATGAGCTTGTAATGATTAATATGTCTAAGACAATTTCTAAAGAAGAACCATTTATATGTTGAAGATCTTAATAGAGATGGTTGGCATTATGCTGTTCAAATCCCTCCTAGAGAGCATTCTGATGGTTTTTTCCCTAACAATTTATATTACATTATATTGCACTACTTTCCATATTATATTATATTATATTATATTGCATTGTTTTTCATATTATTATCTTTTATGGTTTGTAAACATGTTCTCATTGAATGGCTTTGCAGATTAAGGGGAGTAAAGCAAAAGCTCCTGATTCCCAAAGTCAGCTTCCAGACTATGAGTTACAAAGGCTCAGAAAATTGAAGTATAATGCTGAAAGAATGTCAGCCCAAGGATCGGGATCCTTGGCGAATAAGATACTGCAACAAAAAACACGCGACATACTTTGTTCGAGTGTGAGGCATACAGATGATGGCTCCTCAGGAGACTTTGATATGGAACAGGAAACTCTTGGTAGTGGAAAAAGACAAGTATGTGAAAAGGTATCTTTAGTAACTTGAATTTGTTACTTTGTATATATATGTATTACTTATATATATTAATTGTTTGACTTATGCATTACTTGTTTTGCTTTTGTTTTATAGGTCTCTTCTCAACAACATCCAGTTCCTACACGGGAAATTCAAAGGAAGCAGCAAGAACAGCAATTGGGGTCAACAAAGGTATCTGTGAAGAAAAGAGCTTCTGTTCTCTTGGCTCAATGTCAGCCTACCTCGAGTTTCGGAAACAACAAAAAGATGAAGCGCTGATGATGAGCAGTGAGGTGCATGAAAAAGGGCAAAATTATGATGATGAGCAGCTGAATGACACCGATGATGCTCTTCAGTTCAATTGTGAGGGCAATGATGAGGGCAATGAAATAGCGGACCGAGCAGTTATAGCACAGTTTGGAATGGAAGGTATATTCTGATCATGATATTCTTGTTATATACATACATACATATATGTACTTCATATACAACAACACAGAGTGACCTTTATAACAGATCAGCAGATAACATTTTTTAAGAGTTCGATTTTTCTGATTTGATTTTAAGAGTTTCGCATGTAGTTTGATTTTTTTTAGTTCGATTTTGCAAATGTAGGCTTCGATTTTTGCTTATTTTTGCAGATCTATAGTTCGATTTTAGATTTTGAATTTCAGAGATTTAGTGTTCGAATTTAGGGTTTGATTTTAGCTGATTTTTGCGGATTTTGTTTTCGAATTAATGGTTGTTTGGGGTGCGAATAGCTAAAATGCGAATTGTGTGTGTGTGTCTGTGTATGTATAGCCCACAAGGTTCTGCTAATATGTATACCTTGTGGATAAGCTAATATGCGACTTGCTTCTGTTTGCTGATCTCTACTGCAAGGCTGTTTATGCTATTCTGTGAAGCTTTGTTTCTTCTATCTGGTGTTGGCTGCTAATTTTCAGTTGTTCTTTGATCCTGCGTTGGTGTTCCTTGACGCTGTTATGCTGTTGTTTTCCTCTCTTATATATCAAGCAAGTGTTACAGGTAAAACTTAGTTGATCTTTATTAACTTGATTCCATAAAGAATTTCTGCCACTTTTATTTTGATTTAGTAAATTCATGTATTTTTTGAGAGATCGAGATAAGTCATGCTCCTGCAGCTAGATAAGAAACTTGGAAACTCTGCATTAAGTTTATTTGATCCAATATTTAAGTAACTTAACCTCAACAATTTACTAAGTTCAACAGGAACTGCATAAGCTATATCATTATTATACAGGTTAAGGTACTCAAGCTGTAATAACTGACCGATTTCAGCATGTATAACACCTGCAAACAAGTTACTGTTGAGGTCTAAGTGAGTAAGTTGAGAAAGATTACCAATTCTTGGTGGGATTTGACCCTGCAGCAGGTTGATATTCAGGGATAAGCTTGTAAGACTAGGAAGTGCACTGAAGTCAAGGGTGCTGAGTGTGCCGCCGAGGCTTTGATTATTCAGCTCGATGTTGGTGACAGAGTTAAGGTTTTCACAGACAATGCCAGTCCAATTGCTGCAAAGACTTTGGGCATCGAAATGTCTCCATGATTTGAGTGAAGAAGGATCACACAAGGAGTTTTTCCAACGGACTTGGGCTTATTTCGGTCAAACAAGAACCTTATCCAAAAGCAGACTTGGGCTTTTTTTTTTTTTTTTTTTTTTTTTACTTGAGCTTAAACAAACAGACTAAATCAGGTTATTAAAAGAGGATAAATTACTATGAGTCGTGGTCATGCAAATATGCGTTTGTCCACTCGTTCTGTTCTGTTATATGAAGCTCTGTTTCTTCTGGCTGCTTTCTGTTTTAGTGTGGTGTTTTCTATTTTATTTTTTTCTTTTTTCTTTTTTAGTTTTTTTTTTTTTTTTTTTTAAATCTAAGGTTATATTGGTAAGAGATTTTACTTTATATATATAAACTTGTTAAGCTGGATAAACTTACGAATGCAGTGTTTATTACCACAGAAACATCAAGTGAATTGTCCTCGAAAAGGAAAAAACAGCGAGGTCGAACAATGCTCCACAGAGTTCACGCACATTCAAGAGAGGAGCGTCCTATGATTGTTCTGAACTCATTAGGTTAGCCAGTTGGACCTACTAAGGAGATTGTGCAAGAGTTCAAGTTTTTTTCTGGGAACGGTGGCAAGGGATTCCGAACTTGCACCGCTTAACTACAAAAATTTTCCTAGCCTACCGACACTTGATAAGATATTGGATTATGTCCAGGTAGTATACAATGATACTGTCTTAGTTGCATTACACGTACACCTCCACACGTTACTAATGTTTGAGCTTGAACTGGAGAAGTATATGGTCCCCCATGCCGGGTTAAATTGGGTGATGGATGCTGTAAATAGTTGTTGGAAATATTATAAATGCCAAATCAAGAAGAAACACTTCTATGCATATGATACAGATGATTTAAGGTGGGAACATAAACCAGATACAATCTCCGATAAGATGTTCCAAGATCTTCTACAATATTGGCATACCGATGAGGCGAAGGTACTGTATATTGATTCTAATCTAATTCTCTCGAATAATTTTATCTAATATGTGTTTAATTTTGAATTAAATGGTGGTTTCCGATTTTCCCTAGGCAATTAGCCACAGCAACAAAAGCAATCGTCTAATGTTAGATGATATGCACACTTTAGGACGCAAATCATATGCTATTTTACGCCATGAGTTGGTAAGTACATTTTTTAAAATCTAAATTATAGGCATGTTGCATATATTTTTATTCTAATTTCATATATTATTATTTACATATATATATAGCAACAACAAGATCCAGACAAGAAAGAACCTTCTCAAGCAAAGGTTTACAAGGAATTAAGAAAAAGAAGTGTTGAAAGGACATACATTAGCAGCTTTGAAAAAGCAAAAGAGAATATTGTGAGTTATTCGATAATTAGTAACATTGTACGCCTAAATATTGTTAGTTATTCGATAATTAGTAACACATTACTATGTTTGCCTAAACAGGACAAAATTGATGCTTTGGAGTCAGCAGAATCACAAGAAGATGGTAATGTATGCAATGACCCTTACAGTGAAGTGATTCCACCTCCTAGACGCAAAAGTCGTTTGCATCTATATGGCTCGAGTGTGAAGAAGAGTGATTTGAAGAACAAAGATACAAAGTCAAGTTACATACTCCCGGAGGAATTCCTGGTAGGCAAAAAAGCACAATTAGTCCAAGAAATTGCACCTACCATCATCGCTGCAGTTTTGGATTCGATTCGCGAGGTGAACCCCGGGATTAATCTTGTGGTTCCTAGTACTCTGCAACAATTGACTCCGCATGATGCATCTAGTGCACCAAATCGGAATTCTGCCCAAAGTGGACAATCTTCAAAATCATTTAATCAGGTTGAATTTGCACTTCTCTACTCTGAACTTTCTTTTTTAAACTTTCTTTTTTAAACTTCTCTGAATAGAAACATGTCATTGGTTGATTGGTTGTGCTAAATAAATAACAGAAGGTTGATTACAAAACATGACTTGCGTCAACTTTTAGTTTAACATATGCTGTAATTCAGAAGTTCTGATTCTAAATTCTGTAATATAGGGCTTTGTTTGTCATATTGCTAAATAAAATGGCTTACTTCATGAACTATTAATTCTGTTTTAATATCACTAGGGTCTAGGGTGTTTATAATATTAGCCGATCCAATTCTTTTCACATACTGGTACTGTAGCATTTGTACTTTCATGAATAATGACATTGAGACAATCATATTGGTATTGTGATGCACATAACTGAATTGGAAATCTACTAAGCAATATCGTACGAACAGTCTATTACTGGAGCATTATGGATGGCCCCTTTTAGCTTTGGAGGGTTCCATAGTTTTTGCTCCAACATCGAACTATGGCTTCTGATGACTGCATAGTATTATAACTACTGTGTGGGCAAATACGGGTCAAACATTTTCATCATAATCAACTCATTCAAGCCTCTAACCATATTATTTTTAACCCTCCCTTCTCTAATACCCCGCCTCTTGCATTTACCTCATCTTGCTGGTGCTGAATTGCTACTTAGTGCAATATTAATCAGCTGTCTAGTGTTTTTGTAAGCTTGATGCTTCCTAGTCTTTATCACGCATAAGCTCTTGGACACTTAATAGTTTTTGTCTCTGATGTGTGATTTCATTTTTTCTTTTTTTAATGTCTTTCAATCAATAACTTAAGGTACGTTCTAAAATACAGAACCATGGGAAGCTCTACCCAAACAGTGCAACTCTTAAGATTTTCGGTTGATCTGCCATGGCAATTTGTCTTGTGTTTGCTGATTCCACATGTCCATGCTGCCTTAAATTATTGTATTATGAATTCTTGGTTTCTGTCAAGTTATCTGTTTGTCTCAAAATGCTCCTGCCTGCTGCTGCTGCTGCTTGCCTGCCTGCTGCTGTACTGTGTGTTGCATTGTGTTGCTGTGTGTTCGTGTTGTTGTGCGTTGTTATTGTTGGTGTTGTTATTGTTGTGACTGTTGTGTTGTGGATTACTTGTCCTAATATATTATTATTTGTTTTTCACATGTAGGTGCTTGATGACGATGAGCTACCCCGGGATGAATGAAGTACGGACTAATGTTGCAAGTACTTAGTCATCTGCTTGCCTTCTGTTGCTACTGCCCATCATGTCAGCTGCTTGCCTTGTATTGCTTCTGCTTTGCTCCTAGTACTCAGTGGTCAGTTTAATGTTGCTGTTTGTTATGGCTCTGTCTATGTTCTGCTGCTGCTGGTTCTGGTGCTGCTACTGCCCTGTCAGCTGATGTGTTGTCTTCTGCCTGGTGCTGTGCTACCTCCTGCCTGGTGCGGTGATGCATCTTCCTAGCTGCTGCTAGTGTTGGTTGTTTTGTTTGCTGTTTTTTTGTTTCCTTGCTTTGACGCTACTACTTAGGGATTTGGGGCCGATGTTTGTGTGCCCTTTGGGGCTTTAGGTGTCTTGGAGTTTAGGCCTGAGGGCTAATTGTATATGTACTTTCTTTTGCTACTTTGCAGCTCGTTTTGGTAATAATATTTCTATTTACCAAAAAAAATTATAAATATACTAATATAATTTATATTTATTATATATTATACCTTTTAGATTTAAACGAATTAATTATATATAGTATATAGGTATAATATATAATTATATATTTCAAAAAAAAATTAAAAAAATTGCCTAATACAACGGTTTTTAAAAAAAAAAATAGAAAAAAAGGATCTAATACAACGGTACTAAAAAAAAAAAAAGACCTAATCCAACGGATTCATCAATGCGTTGGATTAGGTCTAATTATTCCCAAAAAAACAAAAGGGAACCTAATCCAACGGATTAAAGAAATCGTTGGATTAGGTAGATACCTAATCCAACGGATTGCTCAATCCGTTGGATTAGGTTTATTTTGCCGTTGTATTAGACCTAATCCAACCCTTGCAAATGTGACAGTTGGTAACCGTTGTATTAGGTCTAATACAACGGTTTTGGACACCTAATACAACGGAAAAAGCCGTTGTATTAGCTCTTAAATGTAGTAGTGTGTGCAGTTGCCTAGGCTGGCTGTGCAGCATGTCAGGGCTACTGTGCAGCTTGCCTAGGCTGGTTGTGCAGCCTGCCAGGGCTGCTGTGCAGCTGCCTAGGGCGGCTGTGCAGCCTGCTTAGGGAGGCTGTGCAGGATCTTTTTTTTTTTTTTGAACTTTATTTTTCCCTAGACTAACATGTACGTTTGCCATTCTTACAGAGTGTGTTTAATATTCCTGATGAGCCAGACAAGAGAAGATCGTTTGAAGGTTTTGTACAAGAGAGATTCAAAAACTTCAAAAGTTCGTTGAGAACAAGATGGATCCATAAGAAACAAAGGCATAAACCGAAGAAAACTGTGATGGGTAATGCAGGAAAGGAGGAACCTGAGAAGAAACCGTGGGATGTATATCCACAAATAACGGTGAAGGACTGGGAGAAGTTTGTGGCGAAATCAACTACTACTACTGCACTTGTATGTATTATAATATAAATTAGAGTTGTTTCCTCAATTTTGCTCACTACATATTATGATGCGAACATTTGGTGATGTGTAGGAAAAAAGTCAACAAGCTACAAGCAATACTGAGAAGAAAATGTATAACCATCATATGGGTTGTAAGACATTTGCGGAAAGTAGACCAAAGTGGATCAAAGAGGGTCTATACCCCGCATCCAAAATACCATCATCTGATAAACCGCTTGATTCCACGATCACAAGTTTGGTAAGTCATGCAAATGATTGGTGGTGTGCTATGCATGGGATCGACAAGAACACCGGGAAGTACATCATGCACCCGGATAAAAGGCCAGTAGCAGATGCACTTGTAAGCACCCTTTGACATTTATGGTAATATTCCACAGTTATTATTAAATATTTCCATAGAAACTACATCTAACTTAGAACTGGAAACTTTTTGTGTTGTTGCAGCTCGAGCATACGTCGGAAGTGGTTGAAGGCAAGCTCACTCCAAGCATAGAGAACGATCCTTTTACCTTGGCTTTGGGAAAACCATACCACCCTAGCGAGTCATTGGTGCGGGAGGGAAACAACTAGGGTGGGAAAAGGTTATGGGTTCAGAATACACTAGATCAAGAAGAACTAGATCAAGTGTTAATTCGCCTCACCATATGAATGCCAAGGAAAACGAATCAATTAAGGCGGAGATACGCAAAGAGGTGCAAGAACAATTGCAAAGTCAATTCAATGCCATTTTAAAGCACATGAACTTGCCAACCTTGTCTTTGCCCCCGATAACCCCAGTGGACTCATGTAGTCACCCAGAAGATGCCGGGGATGATCCACTTGTTGAGAGCGAGGTAATTGAATTACAGTTGAGAACATGAACTTCATATCATCAAACGAGGCCTTATGTAGCATAATTATTTTACTATTGCAGATTCCTACTCCTACGCATGCAGACTCAAGGGGGATTGCAAACCAGACACCTGATCCTTTTCCAGATGTTCAGGTAAATTTCAAGTCTTAATGAAATGTAAACGTATTAGGCTTACGCTGGTTAATTAGTTCATAACTTGTCCTAATCAACTGTGTAGGAAGAGACGCCTTGTGAGCTTTTTCACCCCGGCAAAAAACGTGGATGGAGAGTTGGTGGGGTATGTGCACAACCACTAGTAGAGAAATGCTCATTTGCGTCGCTTGTAGAAACAAACGAAGCAAATGATATAATTTAAGTTCAGTTTAAGTTATTTGCGTCGCTTATTTATTAAAAGTGCGACGCAGAACACTGATATAGGTTATTTGCGTCACTTATTACTAAAAGAGCGACGCAATTAATAATGTCATTTGCTTCTCTCTTTTAGGAACAAGTGACGCAAATGATTTTGTGAATAATTTTCGTTTCTATGTGTATTCCAAAACTGGAAAAAAAAATAAAAAACCTTTCTAACTTTCCTTCGTTTTCCTAAAACTTTTCTAAGTACCTCCTTCCTTCGTTCCCAGCAGCAGCATAAGGCACGAATTAGAGCAAAAATTCGAAGGTAATTAAGCTACCTCCTTCATTCGTTCCAAGCAGAAGCATAAGAAGAATTTTCGAGCAAATTTTCGAGCCTAAACGCATAGGTAATGAACCCTAAACTTGTGCAGCGAATTCGTGAATTTAGGTTTTTTTGATTGTTATTTTCCGTTTTTTTGATTGAATTCGAGCAAATTTTCCGTTTTTAATTGATTGTTATTTTTGTTTTGTTCAATCTTTGCTTCGTGAATTTAGGTTTTTTTTATTGTTATTTTCCGTTTTTTTGATTGAATTTGAGCAAATTTTTAATTGATTATTATTTTTGTTTTGTTTAATCTTTGCTTTAGAATTTAGGTTTTTTTGGGGCCAAATTTAATTAGCCTGGAACTGGGGAGAATTCATGCCTCCTGGGTATTGTTTTGTCTTTGTTGAACAATCTTCAGTAGACTTATTATGAAAAGTTGCTAAATCTTCATTAGTATTCTGACTATTAGGCTGAGAATACTAGAGTTAACAATAAGTGTCTGTGCAAAGGATGCTTCGTTTCGGTTAGAATCTAGCTACTATGAAGGCATGGAAGCACATAACTGATTGTTTACTTGGAAGTAGCTATAATTATCCTCTCATAGGGGCGTATTTGTAAAAATATAAACAGAATTAAAAAAGAAGGTTTAGCTTGTATCACACCAGCAGTGTCCTGTACTGTATTATAAACCAATTTGTGGGCTGTGTTTGAATGTTTATCTCTCTAGACATAGTGCCTTAGATTGGATCCCATTCACGAGTATTTCCTGAGTCAGTATTTGTCTACTCTATTGAATACATGTACGATCTTAACAGAATACATTACTGTACGGATGAAATACTTGCTGAAGTGTTAAAATTTGTCAAGTCATTGTATGAGGGGGTGTGCTTTTACCTATCTATCACAATAGACAAAACATTATCTGACTAAATGCTTACTACTAAGTACTTTGTAACACTTATGGGTGCTGTCTTTTTAAGCATACTTTGAATGTATGTTAATAGTATAAGGTGGGAAGTTCAATGTCCTGTTTAAGCTCTTTGTAGTTGGCTTTTGTGTAACATTATGGTATTTTGATACGGATACATTCTGACAATGAGTAGCAAATAAGATAGTTAACCTTTAAAGATTTGTAGCCCTAAATTGAATTTGGTTGCACATTATGCACTCATGCAGTTACTGGATTATTATCCCTCAAAGCAATTTGGGAGAATGTGCCACCATCTTGGAATGGTTTTCATGATCCTTGTGGTGATCGCTGGGAAGGAATTGCCTGCAATAATACCCGAGTGATTTCGATGTAAGTCAGATCTGCATCACATTTAGAGACAGCCACAACCATCCTTAATACATTTCTTGATTTTATTTTGAAAGTTGTTTCTCAGAACTTTATCAAGCATTGGGCTGAAGGGCGTACTGTCAGGTGCTATCCGGCAACTATCTGAGCTACAAACTCTGTATGTTTTCTGAATTGGGTATTGTTTTTATATTTTAAGTGAATTAGGAAGTTGCTGGTTTAGAATTGAATTGGGTATTGTTTGCATCATTGGCTTAGATACCCGTTCAGGGCTTACTCATTAGGAGTAAGTTCTGAATAGTCCCCGGTTTGGGACTGTTCTTGAATGTTCTATCTCATTTAGGTTGTAACTACTTGAAGTGTTTTTGGATCTAAGAAAAGCATCCCACACTATTTTTCGATTGTTCTCTGGGTACATATGTCGATACTCAATTATCTACATTGTGTGCTTGGAGAACTATAGGGAAATGCTGCCGGATTTTCTTTAGAACCAAAGCTTTACCAAGTAGTTATTAATGAGATAGGACATTCAAGAATGGGTTAGGTTGGAGTGATAAGGACCTGATTGGATCATGTCATTGCATTTACATGAGATAAACTTTGAATGAAAATGTTATATGCCTTATAATCTTGTTCATTGTTAAGGAATTATGTATGCTAGAAAATATAGCCATTATCTTAAAATTAATTTTCATTGTACAGTGGGTGAAAATGGATCGAAGTTGGATGTATGCTAAACGAAATTCTACAAGATTTTTAAGTGGAATTGAGGAGTTTAGTAGTGTTGCCTTAAAATACCAAACAGAGAATAAATCAAAGATTATTCTTTGTCCTTGTTGTGACTGCAATAATTCAAGGGGGTATCGTGATATAGATGATATTAAGGATCATCTAATCCGTCGTGGGTTCAAAGAAAACTACACAAGATGGACATGGCATGGTGAGAACATAGGTCATGAGGCAAATTCTAGTTATTTTGCAAGGGAAGATGAGAGTAGTTGTGATGGCGATAATGAAGACCAGCGTGAGGATATGGATACTGCTGATATTGTTGTTGAAACTGAGGATGAAGTGGAGAAGGATAGGATTACTGAGATGATGCATGATGTAGAAGACCATTTCATAGATGATCCCCATATAAATGACAATATCTTGAGAGATGCAGAGACACCGTTATATCCTGGTTGTACAAAATTCACAAAACTTAGTAGCATTATGAAGCTATTCAACATAAAGGCGAGCAATTCTTTGACCAACAAGAGTTTTACTCTGATTTTGGAAGCCTTAGTAGAAATGTTACCAGAAGGGAATGAACTTCCAAACTCCATATATGAGGCTAAGAAACTTATGTTCCCTCTTGGTATGGAGTACGTGAAGATACATGCATGTCCTAATGATTGTTTGTTGTATCGAAATGAGCATGTTGATTTGCATGAGTGTCCAAGGTGTGGAGTTTCTCGTTATAAGATGAATGATAATGGTGAGTTGTGTAAGAAACGAACTCCGGCTAAGGCATTGTGGTATCTTCCAATTATACCGAGATTTAGGCAACTTTTCTCAGATAAAAAAAAAATGCAAAATTATGAAGATGGCATGCTGATGGGAGGAAGAAAGATGGATTAATGAGACATCCAGCTGATTCTCCACAATGGAGGAACATTGATCGAAAGTTCAAGGTCTTTGGTCAAGAAGATCGAAATCTGAGGCTTGGGCTTTGTACAGATGGAATGAACCCATTTGGGACACTTAGTACCCAATACAACACTTGGCCGGTTCTTCTAACTATCTATAATTTGCCTCCTTGGTTATGCATGAAGTCTAGATACATTATGTTGTCCCTTTTAATATCTGTGCCTAAACAACCTGGGAATGACATTGATGTGTATCTAGCGCCTCTCATTGAAGATTTGAAATTGTTGTGGAATGAAGGTGTCTCAATGTATGATGCATATAGTAAAACCAATTTCACTTTACGTGCCATGATTTTTTGTACAATAAATGATTTCCCAGCTTATGGGAATTTGTCGGGGTACACGGTGAAGGGAACAAAACCTTGCCCCATTTGTGAAGATGATTTGGAGGCATTGCGCCTAGACAATTGTGGCAAGCACGTATACATTGATAATCGTAGACATCTTCCTGAAGACCACCCTTTTCGGAAGAATAAGAAGGGTTTCAATGGAAAAGTGGAGATGAGAGAAGTTCGGGCCCTTTACGTGCTAGTGAGGTTTATATGCGAGTGAAAGACATTGAAAATGAGTTTGGTAAGCCTTAGAAAAGTAAATCAAAAGGGGGCTATAAGAAGAAGTCCGAGCTATGGTCTCTCCCATACTGGAGACATTTGGAAGTTAGACATTGTCTAGATGTAATGCATATTGAGAAAAATGTTTGTGATGCCATTGTGGGAACATTATGAAATATGCTAGGAAAGACAAAGGATGGAGTTAAGGTTAGAAAAGACATGGCTGCTATGGGTCGTTCAGAGTTGGCACCCGAATCTCGAGGAATACGATGGTATCTTCCCCCAGCTTGTTTTACCTTGTCTAAAAAGGAAAAAATAAGCTTCTGTGAGTCATTGCATGGTTTAAAGGTCCCGGCGGGATATTCTTCAAATTTTCGTAGACTTGTGTTGATGTCTGACTTGAAATTGGTTGGCATGAAATCTCATGATTGTCACACCTTGATGAAACACTTATTACCAGTTGCAATTCGAGGAATTTTGCCGGATCAAGTGAGGTATACGATTACAAGATTGTGTGTCTTTTTTAACACAATTTGCAGCAAGGTCATAAATCCATGTATATTAGATGACTTGCAAGTAGATATAATTGAGACAATGTGTCGATTTGAAATGTATTTCCCCCCATCTTTCTTTGACGTGATGCCCCATTTGGTTATTCATCTTGTACGGGAAATTAAACTTTGTGGACCCGTTTGTATGAGGTACATGTATCCTTTTGAGCGACTAATGGGTGATTTAAAGGGAAAAGTCATGAATCCGGCCAAACCTGAAGCCAGTATTGTCCAACGAACAACAGCCGAGGAAGTGGCAGCATGGGTTGCTCAGTTTCTTGCAAGTGCACAAAAAATTGGGTTGCCACAGTCTCGACATGATGGGAGGCTCGGAGGTGAAGGTACTGTTGGTAGAAAAAGGTTTTCCATGGGCTGTGATATGAAAAATAAGGCTGAGCTGTTTGTTTTGCAAAGTCTTAGTGAAGTTCATCCTTACTTGAATGAGCACATGATTTTTCTTAAAAATGAATACCCTTCCAAAACTGATCTTCAGCTGATAAAGGAGCATAATTGTTCATTCCTTACATGGTTCAAGGATCGAGTGATGTCTCAATTGTCCACCACACTTAATGATGTATCTGACACATTGAGATGGTTAGCATATGGTTCTAAATTTCAAGTCATTTCGTATGAGGGATACGACATCAATGGATATTCTTTTTACACTAGTCGACAAGATGACAAAACAACAATGCAAAATAGTGGTGTTAAAGTAATAGGTTTGTCATCTGAATTTGTTAGTAAACATGATAAAACACTAGTGGATAAGAAGAAATTTTATTATGGAGTAATTGAAGAAATAATAGAGTTAGACTATGTTGATTTCAAGATGCCTCTATTCCGATGTAAGTGGGCTGATATTAGTCGTGGTGTAAAAAAAGATGAACAAGGGAACTTGACCCTTGTAAATTTTGGTCGACCAGGGCATCTAGCCGATCCATTTATATTAGCATCACAAGCAAAACAAGTGTTTTACATGGCTGACCAGCTGATCGTAAATGGTCAGTTGTTTTAGAAGGAAAAAGAAGGATACTTGGCATTGAAGATGTGGTTGATGAGGAAGAATATGATGAGCAATTTAATGAGTCACCACCTTCTGTCTGGAGCATCCCTCCAATAGTTGATGATTTTGACACAACTTTGAAACGTGTAGATCATGATGAAGGATATTATGTTGCAAAAGAGAAGAATTAAGTAAGTATGAAATCTGGAATTTTGTGTTATTGTTTTTTCTTACAATGTGTTACTAATTTATTTGTTACATTATGTTACTAAATTAAGAATATAATGAAGTATGAAATCTGGATTTTTTTTTACATATACATGTTTATAATTTGTTTTTTAATGTTTACTACATTGCAGATAAATAATAATGGAGGATGAGGATATGCAAAATGCTGAAAATGAGCCACACAATCAATCACCATCACAGCTTGATTCTCAGAAGAAGAAGAAAAAGAAGCCAAGAGGTCCTTCAAAGGGCCTTAAATCGAAGAGTGGGGTTCCTAGAGTGCTTGAATGGGATGAATTCTATCGGCCAATTGGAAAGTGGGTAACAGAATACAAAACTCATGTTGGTGAAATAAGTCGTGCAAAGGTCTCTATATTGATTAAAGATTGGAAAGAAGTTCCACAAGGAATAAAAGACATTTTGTGGGAAGATGCTAAGGTATTATTATTTCTTATTTCTTATTTAATGTATAAGAAGTTCCACAAGGAATAAAAGACACTTTGTGGGAAGATTTTGTTTGATATCGATAATGTTTTACCAATTAATAATGCAATGTTTTATTATTTAGAGAGAGTTTCATATCGAAGAAGATGAAAAAAAGAAGAAGAAGGTCCTACACACTTGTGATCAGCGATGGAAAGATTTTAAAGCAAAATTGGTTAGCGGTTGGATCACTTGTACTAGGAAAATGCCGGATGACAAAAGAATGCCTTATGAAATTTATGATTTCATAACTCCAGATGTGTGGAATAGTTTTGTAAAGGAGCATAGCACGGATGAATTCAAGGTGTGTAAATGTATATATATACATCACTATAAGTCATAAAGCTTCAAAATAACAATGTTCCTTTTTTGATTCTAAAATAGGAAAGAAGTGAGAAGGCAAGAAAGAGCCAGTCTTTCAACCAATACCCGCATCATTTAGGAGCCAAGTCATATGGTGAAATGGATATTGTATGGAAAAGAAAAGGGTATATTCCTTCATCATCTACTACTTCATCTTGCTCTTCGGTTGTTTCTAGTTTGCCGGATAGGACATATGCTTGGCTTTTAGCAAGATCAATAGAAGATGATAAGGGAAATCATTATTTGCCTGATCAGAAAACAAAAGAGGTGAAAGAATCCATTGTAAGTGTAAAGAAAAGTCTTTATTTCAATGTTGAATCTATTTTCTTAAGTACATATATTGCAACAAAATCATACTAACTTTATGCTTTTGTATAGGATGATTGGAAAAAGCAACAAGCTGAAGGGAAATTTGTTCCTAATAGGAATGATGATGTCTTGGCCCGTGCCCTTGGAAGAAAAGATCGTTATGGTCGGGCAATAGCATTTGGCAGAGGAGTTGGCATTAAAGCTGTATGGGGATCTGGAGAGCGGCGTAGTGGCCGACGTGGTACGCAAATTGGAGATGTTGAGTTGGAGGAATTAGAGGCAAGAGTAACCCAAAGGGTGCGAGATGAGACTGTACAGGAGATGCAGTCCAAAGTGGATTTCATGGTTCAAGAGAAGTTTATGTTTTTGGCTAAAGAGATGGGTATTCAAATTCCAACTAAATTAATGGAATTGAATAGCATATGCCAGGGTACTCCACAAAATCGTAGTAGTTGTCACTCAGGTGGTGGTGATGCTCCACTTGCAAACATACATGATCCATTTGCAAACATACAGGTATCTTAAAATCTTTATTTGATTTTTGTTATGGCATAATTCCATTATAATGTTTACTACTTTGTAACATGTATTTGATATAATTTTGTGGGTTATATACAAGGAACCAGTTGCATGTAAGCTATCGTTGATGATTGACTCTGAGAAAGAGTCATTGTTGCTGAAGGTACATTTTATCCAGAGTTAATCCTTGATCATCATAGTAGCCTCCTACCTGATCATGTGAGGATAAGTGTTGATGATTATTATGATAAGTTCAAAGACGTTCCAGTCCCAGTTCCTTCTGCATTCATAAAGAAACTCAAGAATGCTAATGGTACTTTTACACAATGGCCGAAACACTTGGTTTCCCTTCTGCATGATAAGGTAAATTATATTTATAACAATTATTACATAGTTTTGAAGTTGAAAAATATAGTCAAATTTTTTAATGTATTTGCTTAACTGTAAATTAGGAAATCATCCCAAACAAGAGTGATGGCAATAGAGAAATGACCAAAGAAAATGTGCAAGTCAAAAGAAAAGAGGTTGATAGTGGTCACGAAACAAAAGAATCCAACACCAATCCAAAAAAAAACCTTTCTTGTGGATTTTGTGTTGGAAAATTTGACTCAAAAGTGTAGGTGTTTGAATGATTTCTTATATTCATTACCCGAAGGTGAAAATGTGATGAAGATGATCGGTGATGTAAGAACCTTTAGTTATGAAATTGAAAGGGACATCATTATCAAACGAGAAGATGTCGATCAACTTCTCACGGGAGCATGGCTTAATATTTCAATTTTGCAAGTTTTTATGATGTAAGATATTCAAATTTCAACCCTCCTAAAAACTTTAGTTTATTACCATTCCTAATATTATTACATGATATATATGTAGGGCTTTGAGTGACTATTCTCTCGATACGGTCGATGTGTTTCCCACTGGATTCATGTGTCCAGAGATGATTTCAGAGACCTATTTGCATAGTGATGCTGATCGTGTCCTACTATACATGAGAAATGCAATGGAAAAACAAAAAAAAAAAAAGCAATTCATCTTATGCCCATACTATGAAAAGTATAAAATTAGAACTTTTTTCTATTTAAACATTGCAAAAAAATGTTGGTAATACTTAATTATTTACAAATTTCTGTCTAATTTATGTAGGAATCATTGGGTTCTTCTGGTATTATGCATGACTAAGCGTGAGGTCTACATCTTTGATTCTATGAGTCAAAAGCGAAATTTGGCAATTAAGTTTCCAATGACAAAGTAAGTTTGTTTATAGAGTCATGTGAATTTATTTAAGGTTAATGCTTTTATATAATTTGCACAAATATGTTATTTATTTCAAATGTGTAGTGCTTTTTCGAAATTACAAGACACTAGGTGGACAACCTAAGGGAAGTAAATTGACATGGCATTTGGGACAGGTTTAACTTCATTCCTTACCCAAAATATACTTTCTTAATAATGTTATGTATAGCAATTAAATTGAACTAATTGTTATAATGTATGTAGTGTCCTCAACAATTAGGTGGACGTGAATGTGGCTATTACGTCATGCGTTATATGTTCGAAATAATGCAATATCATCATAATAGTGAGGACCTTATTACGGTATGAGGTGTCAAATATTTCATTTTTACTTAATAAATACAATTTGAAGTACTTACACTTGGATTAAACTTTTGCATTGATCTTTTGTTTGTGTTGTGCTAATAGGATTTTTCAAGATCTACACCGTACACAAATGAGGAGATAAACGAGGTTCGAGATATTTGGGCAGACTATTTTGTATGCAATGTTGAACTTTAGATCTACACTTACAAAACTCCATTTACTTGTTAGACTCTTGTTCTATTTGTTAGGATTGACATGAATGTATGTATTTTGTTTACCAACAATTTGGGTTGGTGTTGGTGGTTGTGTTGAATGATGACTTTAATGTCAATGGAATTGAGTTGTAAATTTATTGGACAGGTTTTTGATATGATGCCGTCATTCCCAATTTTATGGGTAGGCCAAATTACAAAGGAAATTCTGCCAAAATTTATATTTGAATTCTTTATTATTTCTTCTTACTTTTTATTTTGTATCATATAATATATTTATATATCATTTGCATCGCTGATCATTAAACAAACAAGCAACGCAAATAATTCGCTTTTGAATTGTCAAACAAGATTCATTTGCGTCACAATAATATTGTAAAAAAGCGATGCAAATAACTAGAATTCGCTTCACCATTTAACACTATTTGCGTCGCGTTTTTATTATAAAAAGACGCAAATAACACTCGTTTTTGTAAATAAGCAACACAAATAATTATCATTTGCTTCGCACTTTTATAAAAGTTCGACGCAAATAAGAGTTATTTGCGTCGCACCAATGAGCGACGCAAATGACTTAAAGTCATTTGCGTCGCGAACACTTGCTTCGCACCTAGAACCGACGCAAATACACTCTAAAAGTGCGACGCAAATGAGCATTTCTCTACTAGTGAACCGTTTAACAAGGTCCATTTTAAGTCTAATACTAGTACCCACTATATATCGGTCGGGATCAATTCCATAGTACCAGGGTTTGAGGACTTGCCACTACCGGCACCTAGAGAGGAATATGACTTCATCACGCTGGTTGATGCGAAAGGTAGCTTTGTGCAATGGCCACGTGATCGGGTGAGGTTGATAGGAGGGGTAAGTGTACACTACTTACCTTGTTTTTAAAACATGTCTCAAATAGCTTGTAATATAACCATGTGCTTTTATGTTACAAATGAAAATCAGTCATCTAAAAGGAAGAAGGTGGAGAAGCCAAAATCTAAGAATGTCCAACCTACAAAGAACATGGAACAAGGACAAGGGTTGAAGAGTTCGAGAGGTTCTGCCACGAGTTGTACTCCACTAGTAGAAGTCGGCATCCTGAATTCGCTCTCTAGAGCTTGTACTTTTCTTCATAACCGTGTGAGTGAGTTGCCTAGGGGTAGATCTATTGAAGTGATTTTACCTAAGGCATTGTTTCACTATGATGAGGATGGGATCGCACCAATTGCAAAAGAGGATGTGAAGGAATTTCTATCTGGTGCCATGCTTAACATTTCCATCGTTCAAGCTTTCATGAGGTAATGCAATGCCACTATTCCTAATCATTTTGTTGCATTTTCGACTGTAAACAATGCTTTTAATAATTATTCCCCACAATACTGTCATGAAGGGCACTACAGGAGCACCTTAGATGCTTAGGCGATTCCAAGGCTGCAGTTGGGTGGTTTTGCCCCGAGCAGACCTCGCTTACCAGATGCTTGTGCAACCCTCGTGATGTGGAAGATTACCTAGAACGGAGTATCAAGGCATCAACGCGTGCGGGAGATAAGTTCATATTAGCCCCATGTTTTGAGGAGTACGTCTACAAATGTCATAAATTCAGTAGTTATTTTTTAAAATTTTTTTGAAAATGCAGTTAACTGTGGCGTATATTTGTTGACGTTTTTTCAATATATGCAGTGCTCATTGGACCCTTTTGGTGATTTGTGTTTCCAAATACACAATCTACCACTGTGATTAACTTCGTCAGAATCCACCACGTAGGTTGCTAGTGAATAATATATTGAATAGGTACATATTGCTTCCTATTGTTGATTGACCTCACTTAAACCATTGAGTATTTATGTTTCTAACTTTGAACTTACTTTCCTAAAGTGTTATGAAGAAGCTACATTGTCGTTCTGCTGCGGGTCCTACGTGGGAATATGGAAAGGTAATGCCTTGAGTTAGTGATTTGCTTAATATACTTGGCTTCGGTCATGGCTATGCATGATTTGATATCCTTTATGGCATGTCAGTGTGCGCAACAAGACAACGGACTTGACTGTGCCCTATACGTTATGAGGTTTATGCTTGACATAGTCAGTAGTTGCAAGGACACACAACAGCTAGATGAGGTATGCTTTTACTATCTTCAACCTATTAATTGTTTTCATTATTGCACTGAACAAAACACAAGCATAACACGCAATATGCAAAGGCACGCTGCCCAGGTTGTGCAGCAGCCAAGGCAGGCTGCCCAGGCCACTACAGCAGCTAAGGGAGGCTGCCTAGGCCACTGCAGCAGCCAAGGCAGGTAGGCACCCAGCCAGGCAACAGCCCAGCAAGGCAGGCACCCAGCCAGGCAGCTGCCCAGCAGCCTGTACATGTACGTGATGCATGTCATTTTTTGTGCATTTCGGCCATTTTGGTGATTTTCGGTGAATTTCGGTGTTGTGATACTCATGACAATGTTTGGTTTTTTTTTTCTCTAAAGTTTTGCAAGGTTCAAAGGGAAGGCCCGTTAATAAGGAATGAAATCAATGAAGTTCGCGACATGTGGGCTTTTTTTCGTCACATTTGATGGCATGTAGAATTGCGGTAATGGTTATATTGGTTTGTTAGCTTAACTTTTTTAATTACTTATTATTGTCAACATTATTTTAATTAAGTATGTATTAGTATGTACGTAGTGTTTCTAATTGTAATCTTAATATATTTTGGTGTAATTAAATATTGTTGTTCATTAAATATATTAATGATGTTACTTTTTATATATATAATTATTTCGTGTTATATATATTATTGTATTATTTTGTAACTAATATTAATATTATTATTAGTTAATAATATTAATTTTATTATTAATTAATAATAATAAATTTATATCGATTAATAATATTATTTTACTATTAATTAATAATACTGAAATTATTGTGAAAGGTCACTAATAATATTATTATATTAATATTATTAGTAATAAATTATAAAAAATAAAAAATAATAAAAAAAATTCTACAATTGGAAGTGGTTTGGCGCCAAAACCGCTTCCAATTGTAGAATTTTTGTTTTTTAAAAATAGGAATTGGAAGCGGTTTGGCGCCAAACCGCTTCCAATTCTAACTGACAATGGCAAGCCCCCCAAACCGAAGCGGTTCAAAACCGCTTCCAATTAGGGGGTTTGAACCGCTTCTAAATTAGTTTTTTCTACTAGTGTATCTACTGTTTTTATGCCATCTTGTTTACTCACTTCATGTTTTGATTTCTAAATATTGTTACAAATGTTGAAGCAACAATAACATGCACACAATGTAAGAGGAATTGAACTAATGAAATTGCTTAAAACAGAAATACCATACCATAACATAAGTTGGTGTAAAAAACTAATACACCAATTGTTTTACAAAACAGAACTGCCATAACATAAGTTGGTGTAAAAAACAAGTACACCAATTGTTTTTCAAAAGATTAGTTGTCAGAGCATATATGTATTAACATTAAAAGTTTGATTAACTTAATGAGCTTGCTGAGTTCCATGTTGGGGTGCAGACAGTGAGATGGACTGTTGAGAAGCTTTGGTTGATTGACTCAGTTGTTGGGATGAGGTAGTTCCTGCTGCTTGGCCTGCTACTGGTTGCCCTATTGCTGCAACTTTCTTTGGTCTTCCAGGCTGCCTCTTTGGCTTATCAATAGGTGGGGTTGGACATTTATTCTTGTAATGCCCCAACCCACCACAGTTAGAGCATTTGTTTTGCACCTTTGCCCTCTTTACATTCTTCCTCTCCTTATCTTCTCCAACTTCTTTCTTTCTCTTCTTATGTGAAGGCCTGCTAGGTAAGTTTCTATGTGCAGGAGATAATGGCCTGGGATAAGGAGTGACTTCCCACTGCTGATGACCTGACATTGCTTTAAAGGTTGGAGCATATGCCTTGGTGTAGGTCTCCACATGATAAGCTGGGTGGATGAAGTTCTCAATGTCTAGCCTTCTCAATTGAATACAGGCAAGTGCATGCCAGCAAGGAATTCCCATAAGAGTCCATCTGTTGCAGCTACAAGATTTGTTTTCCAGATTCACAACATAGGTGTCTCTTGAGTCATCAACTTCAAACTCCATTAAGTGAGCTTGACTTACTCTCATGTTGGACACTTGTTGCAGACCTCTATGCACCATCTTTAGAACAGTTGGCATGATCACACCATTGAAAGTTTTCAGCCCTTCCTTTTTTGCAAAAAAACCTTCCCATTACATATCTCCTTATCCACTCCATCAACTGTAGAATAGGTTTGGCTCTAGCTTCTCTAAGAACATTGTTGAATCTCTCACAACAATTGTTCAAGAGCATACCTGACTTGGAGAAGGTGCTGAATTTGTGTCTTGACCAATGAGCAGCTGGGATGGCTTGTAAGTAGTTGAAGGCATCTACACTCAGGTTTTTGATGTCTTGCATATGCTGCTTGAAGTGATGCTATGGCCATACATAAGCAAAATAA